AAGATTTATTGTGGCTAAAATTCAAAAGTGGTTCTTGTGGAATGCTTACGTTCTTTTGCCTCAGTGTACGATTAGGGTAATAACACAATGATGCGCTATACAGCGCACTACTTCCGACACTATGTTGAACGTACATAACGAAAGCAAAATCAATATGTGTTCTTGTCTCTCTTGAGTTGTGTAATGGATTTTTAGCGCTCATTACTGGAAAGTGTCACTTTTCGACATTGTTTTGAATAACATAATGGCCTACAAATGGTGAGTCGACAAACTGGAAGGAGCGTTGTCCCAACAGCTCTGGTCCTCACAAGTTCCTACCTCACGCTTCCACGGGTCAGCCGATGACAAAGACCGCCAGCAAAAGATGCTGGTAGCGTAGCCTGGGCAATGTCACCACGATAAAAACATGGATCCGGATCGTGGTGATAGCAAAGTGAGGAGGTGCGACCCTCGAGCGTCTGTTCACCATGGAGGTGCGGCTCAAACAGCGTCTGTCTCGGAGCGAGCGGCTGAATAAGAAATGCTGTATCACGTCAGCTACACCTAAGGTGGCAGCCCCACCAACATGATGTAGGTATCGCGACCCCGGTAAGGTAGCATACTGAAACCCCCAACATTACTCAGAAAAACGAAGAAAAAGAAAACAACGAACGGAATTTTCGGCAACCGACCCGGCAACGAAATAAGGACAATGAATGGAAACTCGGTACTTGGAATGTCAGAACCTTAAATGAACCTGGACGAGCGGGCCTTTTGGCTCGTGAACTGCAAAAAGTGAATGTGAGCGTAGCTGCTATTCAGGAAGTACGGTGGCCTAGATCCGGAGAACGAGAATTCCGGGCGGTGGATCCCATCGCCAACACTTCCTTCAAGTATCATATCTATCACAGCGGTGGCGATAGGGCAGAACATGGAGTAGGGTTCATAGTGATCGGGAAGCAGATGAAGCGTGTTATGCGGTGTAGACCGGTAAGCGACCGCATCTGTGTATTAAGGATTCGGGCAAATTCTTCAACTACAGCCTGATCAACATCTATGCGCCAACCAACGATAAATCCGATGACGTGAAGGACGCGTTTTATGACAGTCTCGATAAAACTTATCATGAGTGCCCAAAACACGACGTGAAGATTGTAATCGGAGATGCAAATGCGCAGGTCGGGAGGGAAGATTTCTTTCGTCCAATCATTGGTACAGAGAGCCTACATACAGTAACCAATGATAACGGCCTGAAACTGATAAACTTCGCCGCTGCTAGAGGTATGGCCATCAGTAGCACCTACTTTGCACGCAAGAATATCCGAAAGCACACCTGGAGACACCCAAATGGCGAAACTTGCACCCAGATCGATCACATGTTGGTGGATGGCCGGCACTTCTCAGATGTCATTGATGTAAGGACTTTTAGGGGGCCTAACATTGACTCAGATCATTATCTTGTTGTCTGCAAAATTCGGGCGCGTCTATCGACCGTTACGAATTCAACGAACCGGAGATCGATGCGTTTCAATATCCATCGCTTGTCAGTAGAAGGTGTTGCTGCAGAGTACCGCCAGAAGCTTGATGAGCGGATTAGCTAAATCAACGTGAACGAGGACCTCAACAATCTGTGGAACACAATCCACGGAGCGGTGAACACAACAGCACAAGAAGTGATAGGTACAGCTCAAAGACGACCACGTAATGGCTGGTTTGATGAGGAGTGCCAGAGGTTGACGGATGAGAAGAACGTTGCCAGAAGCCGGATGTTAGTGTCTGGTACCCGGCTGAACAGAGAGCGGTACAAGGTAGCAAGGGCAGCTGAGAAACGAACCCACCGCAGAAAGAAAAGGCAGTACGAAGAACGCGTGATTGCTGAGGCGCAAAAAAGTATGGAACAGAACGTTATGCGAAGGTTCTACGCGACTGTCTATGGTGTGCGGAGTAAAACAGCGCCATCTCCCGCCATGTGCAATGACCTTGAGGGGAATTTGCTGACAGATAAAACAATGGTGGCTGCCAGGTGGAAAGAACATTTTGAGACATTGTTGAATGGAGAGAGTGAGGGAGTATCGAGGAACAGAGTAAACATCGCAGACGACGATCAAGCTGTGGAGCCTCCAACGCTAGACGAGGTTAAAAAGGCAATACGTGAGCTGAAAAACAATAAGGCTGCTGGGAAGGACGAGCTCCCGGCCGAACTTTTCAAACACGGAAGTGAGCAGCTGCATCAAGCAATCCACCGTATTCTAACGAAGATATGGGAGGACGAAGAACTGCCTGCTAGCTGGTTGGATGGCCTCATTTGCCCATTCTTCAAAAAAGGGCACAGACTCGAGTGCGCCAATTATCGAGGAATAACTCTTCTGAATTCGGCGTACAAAATACTGTCACGCGTTCTGTTTAACAGATTGAGACCGCTTGAGGAGTCCTTCGTCGGTGAATACCAGGCTGGTTTTCGTGAGGGCCGATCAACGACGGATCAAATGTTTACCCTGCGTCAAATCCTTGATAAATTCCGGGAGTACAACTTGCAGACTCACCATCTGTTTATTGATTTCAAAGCAGCATACGATTCAGTGAAGAGAAATGAGCTTTGGCAGATTATGCTAGAACATGGTTTTCCGGCGAAACTAATTAGACTGATTCGCGCAACGCTAGATGGATCGAAATCAAGTGTAAGGGTTGCAGATGAGATTTCGACCTCGTTCGTGACCTTAGATGGATTGAAGCAGGGTGATGCACTTTCAAACTTACTGTTCAACATTGCTCTTGAAGGAGCGATTAGGAGAGCTGGTGTGCAGAGGAACGGTACCATCATCACACGATCGTACATGCTCCTTGCCTTTGCGGACGACATCGATATCATCGGAATTGACCGTAGAGCAGTGGAAGAGGCGTTTGTGCCTTTTAAGAGGGAGACGGCGAGGATTGGGCTCACGATAAGTTCTACCAAAACAAAGTACATGGTAGCCGGTAGATAGCGTGGGAGCAATAGTGGTGTTGGTAGTGTAGTGTTGTTAGATGGTGAACAATTTGAGGTAGTGGAAGAATGTGTGTATCTTGGAACACTAGTGACATGCGATAATGATGTTACCCGCGAGGTGAAGAGACGTATTGCAGCTGCAAACAGGGCCTTTTACGGATTACGTAGCCAGCTGAAGTCCCGTAGCCTGCAAACGAAAACGAAATTCGCTCTGTATAAGACGCTGATACTTCCGGTAGCCCTCTACGGCCACGAATCGTGGACGTTAAAAGAGTCTGACCGGAGAGCATTTGGTGTCTTCGAGCGTAAGGTGCTGCGAACAATACTCGGCGGTAAACAGGAGAATGGCATCTGGCGGCGTCGCATGAATCACGAGTTGTACCAAGTGTATAACGGTACGGATATAGTGAAGCTTATAAAACACGGCAGACTACGGTGGGCTGGGCATGTAGTGCGGATGCTGGAAGAACGACAAACAAATATTATATTCAGCAGAGAACCCGGTAGAGGTCGTCGACTCCGGGGTAGACCTCGGACACGTTGGCTATTTGCAGTTGAGGAGGACATCAGGTCGCTAAACGTTCATGGCGACTGGAAGCGATTGGCTCAGGACCGAGTCCAATGGAGAAGAGTACTTCGTTCGGCGTTGAATCAACCTGGCGATTCGTAGCCCATCAAGTATCAAGTATCAATGGCCTACTTTTCATAACTAAAATAACAGTGTCAAATAGTACTACTTTTCAGCATACAGTGCCACGATGTGATATTGTCCACACCCAACTGTAAAAAGTTTTGCTTGTCGACACTCTGTTAGGTGCAAAAAATTGTTTATGCAAATTGTTGCAAAATTCGATTTTTTTTTCAATACTCGTCGTTATTATTTTAATTAAACTACAATTCGTGTTGAAAAAATATTCTTTTTGCAACTTGTTGCATAAATAGGGCAGAGAACTACTTCGGCCTAATCGCCCATTTTGGGCCTATTGAGCAGAAAACTTCAAATAAATCCATGATTTCAGAGTTTACAAGTCAATTATGCGTTTGGTACGATACTTTAGTTAATAAGCTACCGAACGAAGTCAATGAGAACGCGTGATATGAAGGTTTGCACCCATTATCACCAAAAACAAAAGAAGCGCTTCGACCGAATCAATTTTTAACTTCATCCGATAGGCCGAAGTGAATTCATTGACGTTTCAATGGCGTTTCAATGCGTTAGGCCGAAGTCAAGAAGCAGTATTAGACTTTTGACAATATCTCAACGATTGGTTTCTCTTTATCAAATCTTACGGTACGTACGGAAATGTAAATAATTTTGGAAGCCATCAGTAATAATAACATTCCGTTTGGTGCTAAACTGCGATAGATTGAGAAAGACTAAGATCGTCAATCAAACTCCAAATTCGAAGCATTCAGAAAGTGAAACCATAAAAAACAGTTGCAATAATTAATGGTTGTTATGGTTCATAAAAGCATACAATTGTGCGCACGGTGCGTGTCCTCTGTATGTATATGTACCCGATTGCATAAAACAGAAGAAGAATAACGAAAAAAAAAAACTGTCCCCTTGTGCTGATCCTAGGATTCGGCTATTCCTTGTCTCCCTTCTGTGCAAACAACGCAACTGACTTCCTACCTAGCGTGCGTTGTTTCGCTTGTTCGCACTTTTTAGGGTTATTTCTGCCTTTTCCGAATCGCGGATTTATGGCCAAAATGGAAATATCGGTTTCCAATAGCTGTGTTTTAATGATAAAAGGGTGCACTGTACGAAAGGATGGTTTCATTTGCCACCACCGGAAACAACCGAATCGACACTAAATTTTCGACGGTGCCAGGCTGTTGACTCGTGCCACAGTTGCCGTCTCCGGTTTAAAATTCCTTGCAAGTTCCTCCGGCACAAAGGCAAATCACGTGTCTTTCGCTTTCATTTAGCACCGAAGTTGAGAGGGGTTCAAGACGGTCTCTTTCTGGAAGGGGATTCTGATGGGTGCTGCGTTCGGAGCAAATAATAACAATCGATACCTCTAGATAGGGATTAGATTTGATACTTGTATTTAATGTCTGTTTTCCGTGGAAAAGGGGTTTTTTTTGCTACATATCGGAAAATTAAAACCTACTGGCTAGTTGTTCAGTTTATTTTGCTTCTTTTTTTCTGTGTGTGTATAGCGTAAGAAGGTGCTTGTTTGTGTGTACTTTTCGTCGTTAAAATAAAACTAGATTAAAACGTCGTTGATTCCGAACGTAAATAATTTAGAGAAAAAAAATGTATATTGATCCTGTATGATCGTCTCTACCACCTAATGGCACTTGATAGCTAAATAAAAAAATGCTACATTACTAACAGTTTAAATTGTGTGTGTATAAGTTCTTTAACAATGTTCTCCTCGATGTTTTGTTTCCTTGAACAGCCTGAATTATTTGTTTTTGTTTTCTTATTCCCTCGACTGTGCGAGAAAGGCACATCATCTTGCACACTTAAATTTGTCCATTTCAAAATTTTAACATTATAGAAAGAGCTGCTTTGCAACCTACTATAAATTTACAAACTCTACGTATTAAAGTTGTGTTTCCTTGCGTTTGATGTATAAAGACGACGGGTTAAAATTTTGCTTAAAAAGGCCTAAGAACAATCATTATTGTGTATAGTAAGAAGTCAGCTGTGCTGTCCAAAAAAAGGCTCCACTGCCCGGCTCGGTTGATGAAGTACGAGTTGCTCCTTAAGGTGGCCTGATTATTGACCTGCAATCTGTAGGTGAGAAAATGGAAAATTGTTAGTGATAGACGCGAAACAGATTATTGTCCACACCCAACTGTAAAATGTAAGATTTTAGGATTAAGGATAAATGCTTCGTATGTGGAGGTGGAGGGGCACCGGATGAATTCCTGCCCCAAGAGGAAGTTAACAATCGAATGTGGAAAAAAAACAGGATGAAGAAAAACAGGACGATAAAGGCACCGGTTCGTACGCTGGTGTAGGGGCTAGAGGTGCATCGTCGGACAGCTTCAGTCAGGAAACATACGCGGTTAGAAAAAAGTACCCAAAATTGAGTTCTTTTCACTCATCTCGGCACTATAGTGCAGGAACCCAAAAGTAGGTAAAGCGGGTCAAAGTAATTTTCATTTACTTATGTGCAGTTCGTATGGAATTTTCCACTGGCTTTTTAACCAAAAGTAAGTTAGTTGCACCCAACAGTAGGTAAATATGATTATACTCAACGTTGGGTTTCCACACTTTACCACCCCTGTTGGGTGGTTTTGCTCCTCCGATTTTGACAACATTAGAAGGAGAAAAGGAGACAAACTAGTCAAAAGTAGGTAAAAGTGAACTTTCCGTTGGGTACTTTTTTCTTACCGTGTAGGAAGGAATAGAGGTGCTACATGAAGAGATGGTGAAAATAGACGTAGCGACCCCGGTGACCGAAAACGAAACCGAACCGAGGGGGACGAAAGGGAGATTTATATACCTTTTAGTTTGATGAATTAATTTATCTCCATGCAAATTTATTTTATCCGAAATAATCGCGTTTAAATCTTCAAAATGAATAACATCGTCTTTTTATAGATCACATCTGTAATAGATCGGTTCACATCTCTATCTATCACATGACAGACTAACAACACTCTGCTGCTCTTTCATAATGGTCAATGCCGCAAACGTAAACAATGATTTCTTCCACGAATTTCTCGAAGATGAAAACTCGCTCAACTAAAACATCACAATGATTGACGCATACGGTAGAGGCAGAGTCCCCATATCCGATAGAATTAGTGGCTTGCATGGATAGACTTTGAATTAGGGAAATTTAAGAAAGAAGCCATTGTTTACGTTTACATCATTGGCCCGTATGAACGCTCAGTGTAGAGATGTTTGTAGTAGATAGAGTTAGTGTTGAATAAATAATGAGTAGAATCAAGTGAGCGTGAAGCGTGATGAGCATGTAAACAGAATCTCATTGGTTAGAGAATTTTGATAGGTTAGCAGGTATACATATGAAGTACCTAAGCTCGTTGAAGTAATTCTTGTAACGAATTTTGGAGGTGACGGACCACCAGCAGCAGCAGAAACAGCAGCAACAGAAACAGCAGCAGCAGCAGCAATAGAAGCAGCCGCACCCGAAGGAGCTGCATCGCTAATTCGTGTTGCCGTGGCCGAGGCTGGAAACCTCGGTCCGGTCACGACAATTTTGAGGTGGATTTCGTCAGAGTTGACATTCCTGTGCTTCGAGTTTACCAATCGCAACCTGAATAATGGGTTCTGTCCAAATAGGAGCAACCGACGTCTGACCGAGCAGCACCAGGGTTGTTTGGATACTTGCATGGCTGAGAATCATGAAATAATGGATCAATGAAAATGCTGAGGTTTTGACAGAACTATGCTCTGGCTACCACAGTATTTTGCATTTGACCGTCCATATACAGTAGCGCCAAAAGCATGCTGTGGTGGGTTTAAAACTTGACCATCTAAATTGATCAATTGAGCATCCTCCGGGTGGGAGGCTGAGGTGGTTGTAAGACCTTTGATAAGCCCAAAGGAGTTTTGGTTGACGGCTGGATTTCGGGAGTACTCGGTGAGGGGTTGTCTCGATCTTGCGAGGGGTTTTTTTTTTCCTTGATTTGTTTCCCGTCAATCTTGTTTTCCGTGCTGAACACCAATGCTACCGACGCCAGGGAGACAACTCCCACACCTGGACCTACCTATCGACCCATCAACTCATGAACCGGGGACCAACGGCTTTACTTCCCTTCCGAAGGAAGGCGTGATCAGAGATGTTATGCCTCAGAACATCCCGACGGCGCCGACTGGGATTGAACCCAGGCCTGCTGGGGTGAGAGGCAATCACGCTTACCACTACACCATCGGCGCCGCTAACTTGCGAGGGGTTGTCTCGATCTTGCGAGGGAGGTTGTTGGTTGGGAGCGGTATAGGCGGAGTGCCGAAGTTAAGCTTCTTTTTCTGCTGCTGTTGGGTTGCGAACCGGGGAGTGGTTAGGTGATTTGCGAGGCGTTGTCGCTGATATTTAGGTAGATAAGCGCGATCGAAATCTATGCGTCAGAGAATGGGACGGAGGTCATAGGCCAGAGACAGAGGACGGAGGGGATGAGTATTCAAGTCGGATATCCTTTGGAGTGCAGATTGTCTAACTTGACCCCGGGATTTGATGCTAGTCCTGTCCTCGATGTGTTCCTTCAGACGTTGGAATTCAATTTAGAGAACGGATCGAATGCTCTCGCACCGTGCCGTGTGTTGAATTGAGCGTTCTGCTTCTTATTTTCCAAGGTTAGGTTCTAAACACAGGGCTTCAATAGGTCCAGTATTGTTCGTATTGATCTTCCTAAATATAGTGTGTCTTTCCATCTGGAGTGCTTCTATCTGGGGTTGACCGAAAGTCTGAAGATGGTGGAATGTTACCATGGTTACCCCTTCTTCGGTTAGTTTCTTCCGACCTGTCTCAAGGGTGTCGACAAAACGTTCAGCTTGTCCATTCGATTGTGGGTGGTAAGGTCGTCAGATGTTGGATACCGTTTTCTTCACAATATTGCTTGAATTGATCAACGGAAAATTGGGACCGTTGTCCGAAACAAGAGCGAAGGTTTCTTACATAATTTCCAATGTCGCTGTAGTAGTTGTACCAAAGAAGAATACTAAGATGAAACAGTCGGATGAAAAAATCTTTCTATTTTGATGTCCTCTTTCGCAGTCCCTTTCATCCAATGAATACCCCCCGTATGCAAGGTGTTTTTGTGGTTGCACTGCCCCCTCGCGAAGACTTCAAATCAAGAAGACTGGCAACTTTGCCAGATCTAAGCGACAGATGCAGTAGTGCTGCGCTTGAGTGAAGGTGGAAGCATCGCATAGAAAAATGAGCAAATACACAAACCTTTCTTCTGAGGATGTAATCTTTACTATCAAATTCGTTCGAAGCATTTGCCTTTGAGCGGCAGATGACGCGATTTTACCTGTCTCATAGCGTTTGTATGAGAAAATGGAAGAGTTGCCAGTCTTCTTGATATGTTGTCTTCGCCCCTCGGTAGAGTTGACGTTCAGCGCTTTTTTATATGAAAAACAATCATAATCAGTGATGTCCCATTTTTGAATTACTCGATTAACAACTAATCGATTATTTCTGGATCAACAAAAGAAAAGGGCCCATCAGCATTTGTAAACAAACCGTTCCAAAGCCCTTTACTCACAAAGCAAAAGCCACTCACGCAAACCAACAGCATCATCGGATAGGGGAAACTTCTATCTACACGATGATGGTGTTGGTTTGTGTGGGCGGCCTTCGATTTGTGAGGAATGGGCTATGGAACGGTTTGTTTACAAATAGTGATGGGTCCTTTTCTATTGTTGATCCAGATTTTTTGTTCGCTGTGCTGTCATTTTCCATCAATAATGGCGGTAAGCTCCAATCGGTATTATCCTCGGATTAAATCCCGGTCAAGAATGTCCGGCTGCTTTGATGTCGACATCAGAGTTATTAAACACGATGCTATGCAAACAATTCGCAGATCATCCAAACAGGGACGGTATTAAAAGTTAATCCGAGTTGGAGCTTACCGCCATAAGAGTGCAGAACATGTTTGAAACGATTGGTGATGCTCCTCTGGAGAAGTTCTAGATAGAGCTGGAATTAGGGTGTAACAGCTTTTGTAAACAATGACTTTTTGCGACGATTTCTAAAAAGTCAAGGCTCGCCCACGCAAATCAACATCACCATCGGATAGGGTAAGACTTCCGCTATCCGATGGTTACGTTGGTTTGCGTGGACTTGTCTTGAATTTCTAGAAATCATCGACAGAAGTCATTGTTTACAAAAGCTGTTTTGCCCTAATTCCAGCTCTATCTAGAGTTAATGCTTACTTGACATGTTAAAACCGGTTAAACATCGTTAATAGATTAATCGATTATTCGAATAAAAATCGGACATCACTAGATGAAAATGAAACGTCATTTCAAATATAAGGGTCGTTCAGAAATAATGAGACAATTTGAAAGGGACCGAGGCTAATCACAAATCAAGAACAACATGTGAAAAGGGCATACAAGCTTTTTGTAAACAAACCTTTTTATGCCCTTTTCTCGCCACCCATATGACACCAACGTAAACCATCATCATCACCGGGTAGGGGAAACTATACTCTTCCCGATGATGTTGTTGGTTTGCGTAAGTGACCCTCGATTGGCGAGAAAAGGGCCTACAAAGTTTGTTTACAAATAGCTGGTATGCCCTTTTCACATGTGGCTCTTGAAATTACGTCCGCGAGGTAAGTGAAAAAAAAACACGATTGCTGACCGGTTGGTTGTACTGCGAGCCCTGAACATCTCCGGCCTCTTAGAATAGGCGTCGACCACGACGGGGTAGTGATAACCGTATCAACTGGACCTGCGTAATCGATATGGGTCCTCTCCCACGGTTTACGTATTCTTACGAAGCGATTTTGCTGCAGTAGCACAGGAAAGACAGTGGCGCACAAAAATTTCTACGAAATTTCTTGCTTGTGACTTCACACGGTCGATTCCGGGGTGTCGATGGTGGAGCTATCGGATGATGCGCTTGCGGAATTGTTCTGCAACAACAACTCTGTCATCGAACATGATGCAGTCATGGGTGACCTTGAGGCCTCTCGTCGGGAGTAGAACCACGGACAAACCGACATGAAACATAAACTTAACTCTTGATCGAGAATCCATAACGGCGGATTCAAATGTGCAGCGATCCCATCTGTCAAAACCATAGAAATTTG